AATATTGAAAGCAAAAGGTTATACACCATAGATTAATTGGGTACCACGCGTATATAAGATAGCCGAGTCAGTTTAGAGTTATGGATAGGGATAGGGTTTCTTGGTTGTCCACCGGACAATGTCTCAGACTGGTTAGGTTGTCCGGCGCAAATTCTGGTTGTCTCGGACAACCGGACAACGCTTATTTCGAGCACTGTATGTGTGTAATATAAAATAAAATGTTAACTTTCTATTCCTATGTGTAATTATGCTCCATTCTTTCCGATGTACAGTGACACAGTGAACTGTCCCAAGTGTTTCAAGGTGTTACACAAGTGTTCACTAAAGAAACACATGCACCTAGTGCACTCACGTGAGTCTTACAATGATTATAATCAGTCAATTGATATTTGCTCTAATTTTATTTTATAGTAAGAAATTTGCAATGTGTTACAGTGTAAGCAATGTCTCATGCAATGAGGAATATAATGTAATTGGACATAGAATGACTATTTTCCTTTGAGAAATATGTGCCACCATCCTATAATATATATAGATTTAATTGGTGCCCTGTGTGACACTATCTATCAGTAACCGTATTTACCAACACATTACATGCATGCATGCAATGACAAAGTAGTAACTGTCAAGTAGTAACTGTCAAGTAGTAACTGTCAAGTAGTAACTGTCAAGTAGTAACTCGCTGCCTCCTCTCTCTGCTTGTGTTTGTCGTGATGTCTTCTGTCCTTTACCTCTCACGTTCATCCATCTGCTCTTGCCGCACGACTCCTGCGGCTGCACCCAGCTTATTACGTCTGTGTTTCAGGCGAGCGTCCGTTTCTCTGCGTCCTCTGCAACAAGCCGTTCAAGTTGAAGCACCACCGCAAGAACCACATTCTCACGCAGCACCGTGAGGGCGGCCACACCCTGCCGTTCGTCTATCGCTGCACGATATGCGGTAAGCATGTGCAGCTGTCACGGCGGCGGCGGCGGCGGCGGCGTCGTGTGAACAGCGTCCTTATGTCATTGTCTGCTGGTGGCTTTCATTATTGTTGATCGCTGAGCTACTTTCAGGACGTGTGTTTGGGTGGGTCCAATGATCTAGATTGTGCGCGGGTCTGTGAACATTCTGCTTGTTTAGTTGGATCTACGTGATTTGGTTCTGCTGGCGAGGCGGGTTCGAAAGGGATCCAATATGGCTGCATGTGACTCGGCCAATCACTGCGTGTTGCTTGTTATGAACTATCCTGTGATAGGTCACAGTGACTCATTGGAAGTGCATTAGCATTTGCATTTGAACAGATCAGGATCAGGTGATCCAGATCAGATGTGTCCCTCCCAAACAAACATGTTTGATTAGTTGGTCTTCATGCTTCCAGGTGACGTCTTTGATTTGGGTACGGATTTCGTGAGGCATCTAGATGCCCATGCAAAACTCCTGACGCCACCGCAGCCTGGTCCAGACATAGACTGGTCAGCAGGTAATCTGATTATTGTCTTAGAAGTAATTTGTTAGTTACAGCTATTAGACAACCGATTTAATAAATAGATTGATGCCATAGTTGCGCTCCTTACTTGCCATGGTTGCGCTCCTTACTTGCCATGGTTGCGCTCCTTACTTGCCATGGTTGCGCTCCTTACTTGCCATGGT